GAAAAAAATAAAGATTTGGTGGCCCACAAAAACCAATGAAAAAAAAAAAAAAAAAAAAAAAAAATCAGAGCACCAGAGTTCGTTGAGCCCAGCAGCAGCAGCAGCAGGCTGGCGACAAAATGCTGCCACCCGGTGGGTAGGTGCTGGGTTTAACTCAGCAGAAGCCAAGAGGGCTGCCCTGACCATCCCAGATGGCGAGCTGATTCATTCCCCCAGACCAACAAGAGATTTAATGTGGCCGGGGGCACTTGGTCTCACCCACTGAATACAAACTCTTCATGTCATGCAACAACCAGCTGCCTGCACAGGAGTCAAGAAGGGGTATATGCGCAAGAGCTGTGTTCACATTCTTCCGAGCATTAAGAAAGGAGCGTGGGAGCGTCCTACATAGTTCTCCTCCCAGCCAGGCAAAACCTGGGTGAAAGATCGCTTGCGTTACAGTAAGTGTTAACATACTGAGAAGATGGATGGCTACAAGCTAGCAGAAGAAAAAATATTCAGTAAAAGGCTAATTACTATCTTGCAGCAGGAAATATTAGGAAGCAGGTTAAGATACCTCTAATTTTACAGGGGAAGAAAAAACAACGAGGAATCTACAAATCTGCTCTTTTTTCACCCTGCCTGTACTGCGCCCTATGCATAGTTTATTTCTGGAGTATAATGATATATTTGGTTGTAAAACTAAGTGGTAGCTTGGTGTTGAACCTCAGCTTCACTTCTGTCTTCCTTTCACTTACATGGTGAAGTCAATGTTAGATCACTAAGGAGTAAAACAAGAGTCTGATCTAAGTATCACAGAAAAGCAAGGTAACATGTTTATTTTTTTTACATAAGCCTTCACTAAAAAATTGAGGACTCAAAATACGCAGAAAGCTGAGGGACTGACAAAGATTACGGCAGTACCAAACTAACTTGTATATACTGTATATACAGCAAAGAGTTCCTTCAGCAACTTTGCAATCAGCACTAAGAAAAGTAACATCGACATGATAAAGGCCTGCAAATGTCTTAAACATAGCCAAACCCAAAAAAGATCCTGGAGTTTTAAGATAGGAAACTGTACTTAGTTGTACTTCAGTACCACAGAAGGTGGGTAAGCAACTATAATTCTAGTTTCAGCACTCAGCTACTCTATTTATCAGAAAAGGAAAACAGGCTTTCTTCTGCCCAAGTAGTTTAAGTAAAAAATCAGGGGTGGTGTTCAGCTCCTGGTCATCCTCCCCTGGGGACTGCACGGCAAGAGGCTCCCCTAGTGAGGGACTGTACCAAAACAAAAGGGATGTTAAAATCCAAGTTTCAGCCTTGCGGTGACCCCGTGCACAGAAAAAGAAGTAACAACTGTGAGGCTGGGTGTAAATATGTGGCAGACGCAAACATGCAAAGATGAAAACAAAACATAAGCTTTTGTACACTGACTTGGTGGAGAAATCATTCAATGAACCCCAAGTAGGATTCTTTCAAGAAACAGAAAAACAAGCTATAGATTTTGTGGAATTTGTACATAGTTAGAGGAGAGATGGAAGTCCCAGTTAAGCAGGAAATCATTATAATGAAAACTCAAGGAACAGCACAAGCACAAAACATTGCACAGCAGGACTTCCAGATCAGTAGTAACGGCTGATGCACATGAGCAGTGGGTAATAATGGCTTTTGCCTACAGTGGAGAACTTTGGTCTTCCAGCATCTACCTTCTGACTTGCTGAAAAACTTTTTGCATTCCAGCTGTATGTGACTGGATTACAAAAAGGTCATGATCTGCTCAGCCAAATGGGAAATCCAGAGAACCTAACAGTTTACTTTGACTTACCATCCAATTATACCATTGAAAAAACAGCAGCAATTTCATCACCATAAAGACTTCAGAGAATGAAAAAAAACGTAGATTACAGTAATGTCAGCAGTGTTGGCAGACGGTGTAAAAGCACCATCATCACTGACCTTGAAGAGGAAAACAATGCTGAAGGAGTAGCTGCCTACTGGAATAACTATTAAGTTATTCCAATCAATATGGAATGCCATCCATCAAAACCAGGGAGGGGAGTCTACAGACTTGATAAGAAAAGAAGGTGTGCTCCTAAGAAAAAGAATGCTTGATCCAGATGCACTGAAATAGCATCTAACACCAACAGCAAATACCAGGAGAGAAATTAATACTGATCTTACAGATTTGGAATGGTGCCACAGCTCCAGGTGTTTGAGGTAGCAGTGAATACACCCATTATAGATAATTTTAAGTCTTTAAACTCACAACAGCTTTTGGCAAGGAAATAAGCCCTTACAGAGCAAATGGAGAGAGCCCAGTAAGTGCTGCTTTGTCAGCTGATTAAGACAACAAGGGACTGGATAAATCCATAAGTTTTAGCTAAAGGTTTATAAGAAATGCTGTATTTCAAGTTTAATGAACTCAGTTTTCAGTTTCAAGAAGCTGAGAAAAGTGAAAGCAATAAAAGGAGAAAGTAGAAGATGGTGGAGAAAGTGATTGAAATGACAAAGAGGTATGATGTATAAAAACAATAGCAACAGCTTCTTACAGAAGAAGTCAGACCTCAGGCAAATCTTCAGTGAACAGTTTATAACCTTACTGTCTACTGATTATAGGCACTTACAAAAACTTTCCATGTGTAACTTTTTTTTTTTAAGGAGGATCATTTTAAAGTCTTCCTTGTGAGTCAATACTATAAATAACAAAATTGGAAAAGGATCAGTAAGTACACTTCTGCTTAAGAGAAGTATGTTTCCAAGCAACTCAGTTACAGAGAGATGAAAAACTTGGCTTGGTTGAGACTATAGCAGAAATGTACAGAATTAAGACTACACAAACAAAAAGCTTAACAAAGTCTGCTGACAAATGCAAATAAATGCACAAGGTATAAGCAAGTTTCTCCTTCCTGTCTGGATTCCAAAACAACTAACCACCACCTAACTTTGGCTACACTGTCAGTAATGTAATAAAAACCACCTGCTCCATGTGTAAAGGCGGCCAAAATTCACATTTCTGTGTTTCACATCAGTTTTGATCAGCACCTAGAAGCAACAGAAGGACACTAAACTAACAAAATAACAAAAATACTTGTTGTTCCTTCCTAAACCCCTCATTTTGAATGTACTGGGGACAAGATAAAGGACTAGAGAGCTGAAGATGTGACTTACATCACAGATCTGACAGTTGTAACTGCAGCAGAAAGCATATTTCTATATACTTTGTTATAAAGTATATAAAGTACTCACTGGCAATGCCTAGTACGCTAAGACATTTACCTTGTTTCTATTAAAAAAAAGGTGTTAATAAGTCATTCTTAAAATCCTCCAGAGAAATTTCAAGGATTATCTTTAAGAGTAACCCTAATAAATGCTGACGAACAGACATTAGGTATCAATCAGGATAAGAAAGTTTAAAGCAACGTCAAAAACACAAGGGCAAGGAATGCACTCAACTATTCAGAATTTGTCGAAAAAAAAAAGTACACAACCACAGATGGCTTACAGATTACTGTGACAATGATAGATGATGACTACAGTTACTTCTTTCAAAGGTTACACAGATGAAAGCAAGATCCTCCATAATAAAAAATAGGGCAAGAACAAAGAAATTTGGTAGCACAAAAAAAGTTGCTAAATAATTAAACTGATTTAGGGCACTCTTGCTGATGGAACTATTTTCTGAAGTTTTTATAGCAAAATCATTCTATGAGTAAGTAGTAGAATATAATGCTTATTGAAAACCAAGGGAAGTTGCCAGCTTTAAATTCTCAGCTGTGTGATATGAACAAATAAAAACTAGAAACAAGTCCAAAAAGCTAAATCACAATCTTCTCATTAACTCTCTAATCCCACATAGTGTAACTTTTTATTGCAAAAGGCTATGTTCACACAATTCTAAAGCAGGTAATGTGGTTAACAGCTTGGTCTAGCTCTAGAATCTGAGTACATACAGATATGAAATGCAAGCAGTGTCAATAACTATATTAGCCAATAGGACTTTATTCCTATTATGGATGTAGCAAACACATTATTCAGCTTAACAGTATCATATAAACAGATTTCAATTTGGGAATTTGTGGCCTGTGGCAGCAGAAACTCACAGATTTAAATTGCCAGGCTTCACAAAGACAGGCAAGATGCATCCCTCTCAACCACTTCATATGTAAACACAGCAACAGCAAACTCGAATAAAAACTCTAAGGATCTGACCGCAAATAAATGCAAGTTTTCAGCCAGCACCTGCTGCTCCACCAGCCAGTCCTCATCTCTCCTAAGGAAAAGCTGGCAGGCTAGATAGATTAATTTTGAGGACCAGATGCAGCCAGTCAGCTATCAAACAAGCAACCCTGACTTACAATAATAAGCTGTGTTTCTTTAATCAGCTCCATTTGCATGAGTCAAGTGTTTTTCATTTGCAAGTAGGGGTCTCTTCCCAGCTGTATTTACATGGGCAGACACTGAGTATTGTTGATTCCGCATTCTCAGGACTTTCTTATCCAAGTCCCAAAGCAAGTTTGCCCCAACTTCACATGAACTTTCTGACAGTCTATTAGTCAACTTTACATAATAGCACGTAAATAGTAGTAAGTAATCATAACGGAGTTGTACACTTAGCAAGTGATGAATCAGTTATAAAATCTAGCTTTATATTCAAATGACTATTTGTCACAGATATCCAAGAATCCATTCTGTCTGAAGTGAAAATTGCATTTGATAGAAGTATCTGACAAAGATAAAGTTATTGTAAGAATGGATTACAATCAGGTAAACACTACATATAAAGCCTCAAATTATCCTTTTTATACATAAGTATGTACATATATTATTTATATATTATCCTATATATACATATAGAACATATATGTAGTTTCACAAACATTTTAACAGTTTTTTGTTGTTAATTAAATGACTGACCAAATATTTCTGTCTGTACAAATCTTGTGGGAAGGGTCACCTGTATCCATTCAAATTTACAGTTGCAGTAGTTAATCAAGTATTCTATAAATATTTAACACTTTCGTGTGGCAACAGAATATAGTTGATTTACAAGTAATAAATATATTTTTATTTTTAAGGGAATAACTATTTCAGAACAGGATATAACTTATCTTAAATGTACTTTTTACTGAGGCCAGAAGGAATCTTCAATGATTCCACAGCACTCCTACTATGCAGTGCACAAATTTTAACACAGCAACTGAAATTGCAACAAAAAAAAAAAATCAGTTGATCTGTATCTCATTCTATCGAGATTTTGTAATTGTGCTCCTCCTCCATACATCACAATCAAATATAAGGGTGAAAGATAGCAACCATTGGTTTAATAATAATATACTACATAATGCTACATATAACTTTCTTTCCCTTTTGGCAGTATATAAGGAATTTTCTTTAGAAATGGCGGGGGGGACCATGAAGGACATAATTCAATACTAACATATTTTATCCTTAGCATCTTCATACATCAGAAAAGCTGACCTGCACTAAGGATGTTTATTCTTTTTAAACCTGACACTAAAACACGTATTTACTGCAAAAGTGGTATCTAGTATTTATTTTTTATTATAAAAATAAACTTTATTTCAAGTGAGGCTATAAGGCAAAATATTTTACTTTCAAAAAAAGTAGACTAGTCATTGTTTAACATTTTATTATTGATACACATCTGACAAGATGACACTTGAATGTTAAGTTAACATGGTTTTCCTCTGCAGTATCAAACAAAAATCATGCAAAGAAAATGCTAATTAAGGTGTTATAAGCAGCCGATAATCAAAGTAACCTTTTCCTGACCCACATTAGGATAAGAAAACCCAGCAACAGAAGGCACTTAGGCTAGAGTCTGACCCATTTTCTCTCTAAAGCTGTAGAAGTAGCTGTAGAAGCTAGGCAGCGAAAAAGAAAAATTTAGTGCTAAAGCAAATTAACATTGTAACTTAATTTAACAACTTTCCATTGATCAAAAAATTGCTCTCAAGAGGATTCTGAGTGTTGCCAGTAATTTAAAAACTGCAAATCTTGCAGTAATCACACCAAAATTTGAAGTGAACTGAAGAGTTCAGGAGTTCAAGAAACAGGGTCTTTAAAAAGTTCACAACTAGGCTTCTTTTTCTTTTCTGAATTTTAATTGAAGCACAATAGTAGCACGGTAAGATAATAATGTATGCAATGTAAATATTTACTATACTCCGGCAGAAACCAGCCCTTAACTTGAAGTTATTCACATGTTTTATAAATTCCCAGATCAGACTTTCTTCCTAATACATATGCATGATCCATACAGCTGTATTCACAATGACCTGACTAACAGCATGCAAGCTGACAAAGAGTATTACAAAAGCAGGATAATAAAGCACAAGTTATTCTTACTACCCTTCCCCCACCATGCATTTTACCCTTTGTGTTCTTTTATACTTACCATGCCCTCAAAGCCAACTCTGTAAAGGTTTTTAGCACCATTGTCCCAAAGAACATATGCTGCGCTATGTGGACTCGACGCACTCCAATCCTGGATTTCAGTTACCTATTCAGATTTAAAATTAAGAAAATGATTTCTAGAACAAAGACCTAAAAGCACAATTTGATCTTAAAACCTTATTCATCTCTTCAGAATAATTCAGGATACAGCAGTTTTACTGAATTTAATAACATTTATTCTGAAGCTGTTTTCTGTTTGATAGAAGTGTTCCCTAGGTATCTTAATAAGATGGCAGCCTGAATATATGCTTTGTAGGCCTATTTTTCTTTTGTATATGTGGTAGGTAATCTAACTACATAAGTAGAGAACAAAATCTGAACTGTAAAAATTTATTTTATGATGCTTTGACATGTTCTCACTAGAAGCAGCATTTAACTAAGAAAAACAGGATGAAAACTATTTTAATTGCTTCAATTTGTCTGGTTTAACCTGCACTAGCCTGGTGGCGGTGCACTATGTCAGGAGACAAAGTTTTATTTCCAGAGCCAATCTGTTTAACAACAGTACAAAAGGAGGAGAGTCAAAAGGGCTTTCCCTGACATTTCTGAAACCATGAGGCCATGCACCGAATTCTGAAAACACTTCCATTATTCAAAAAAAATAAATTTCCAGAATGTCATCTTATCTGCATTTATTTAAAGGCTGTTTCTGCTATCTACCATCTGCTTTTCCTTGTTAAAAACATTTATATGCATTTATACATATTTTTCAGCTTGCAAATAATCCCACTAATTCAAGTTTAGTACATAAAGCAGACAATGCAGGATAAGACTCTTATTTTTCAAAGTTTCAGAGATTTCAAAATATCTTGCCACATTCACAGCAAGGGGTAAATAATCAAGATGAATAAAGCTGCATCTGAATATCCCTTGCTTTAAGAGATTTAAATTCATTATTTCCTCTCAATAAAATCCAAAATGAAAGCCCCAAAAGTCCTAAAGCTTCCATAAATGTCTAGGATATAAAATAGGCTAAATATCTTATTCGAGAATTTTTCACTTTATTTTAAATACTGCTTAAGTGTACTAAAAATAAATGCAACAACAACCACCAGTTCACCCAGATATGAGGGCATCCAATTCTCCTTCTAGAACATCTCATATTTGGTGATAAAAGTCATAGCGTATTTTACACTCCCTGCTGTATGTTCATATTTATAACAAACCTTCATTAGTTCTCAAGGTAAACGTAAGTTGTAAACGGAAAATTTACAAAGGTTATGATTAGCAACATATAATTCCATGCAATTTTCAATAAATCCAAATATTTTTATTATACCACAAATCACAAACACTCATATAACATCCTAAGCCAGTAATATACTATCCACATCCAACACTTGTAAAATTTCTAATTTTAAACTGGAAAAGTCCCTATAATTATTAGATGAAGAACAAAAATCCAGGCTGCAAGCACTGAAAACCAAGAGCAAGAGATACACAAATGTGCTGATCCACAAGCAATAAGACTACGGAATGCAGTTACAACCAGAAAGGGCTATTCTTGAAAGCTCTGTTTTTATACCAGCTCTCTAGTAATGCTGAAATATGCCCAAGATCTTACTGTTGTTACAAACCAGTCTTAAACAGAACCACCAAGACAAAAATTTAGTAGTTTTAAAAACTTTGTGTTGGTATTATAAAAATGTAAATTTAAATTAAAAGAACTGGTCATAGTATACATTCCCTCCTCTTTCTAAATGCTGGAGCATTACAGAGTAAGATTAAAAAATGCACAGCAAATTAAAATATAACTTTTATGGTGGTATTTTTACTCTACAATTAGAAAGGCCACTGAGGCCATTACATGAGCATGCAGAAATGCATTTTCTTATTTAAATCAGTTTTATTTTTACCTTTCCTCTACGCCCATTGCCACCATCTTGATCTTCCCATTGCCAGTCAACTCCTCGCACCACCCTGGCACCTGCAAAGATTCCTCTTGCTGTAATTTTCTTTGATTTACGGCGAGACTCCAACAATACCCTGAAGTTATTAAAAGAAGAATCCACAAATGTCAAGATAATAAAGAAAGTCCAAAACAAATCTTTGGGGATGGGAAGGAAGGCGAGCATCTTGAAACAAAAATAACCCTACAAACGCAGATTTCAGTGCATGAATTGCATCCATTCAATTCTCAACTTGAACAGCACCCCACAAGATAAAAAACCATGATCTTCCTAAATCTGATTTATTGTATGTTTATAATTAGTTTTTAATTCTAATGATAATTTCTGCTTCAAACTTCCTACTACCAGCAATAATTTCGTAACCACTTACACATAGATCTGTACTCATATTATTAAAATCATTAACATACAGAGTCATATAAACAACACATTTCTGTTTCTCTTGGATGCATCCTAGGCCAATATTACTGTCATGCAATTGTCCTCCCATTTTTATTCAAAATTATGCTATTAAGTAAGAGCTACACCCCTTTCCCCTCCATGTCTCAGTTTATTTTCCACATCCTTCTAATAGCATATCTTGGCAAATTTAATTCAATATATCAGCACCCATTTTTTCAGTCATAATATGTTATTTTTCTAAAGCAAACCTCTTCTTTCCCTCTGACTTCAACATAACTGAAGTAGATAAGCCCAAACAGAACAGTTCATGAGCATTTAACTTACAAGTAGAAACAAAGAGACAAACATTTTTTCTGCCTTTTCAGTCATCTCAAAAGCCACCAGTTTGCATGAAACCAGATTTCTTACTTCATGCCAAGAAAATGTAGCCAGACAAAAGTATTTTTCAGCTGAAATTCTGAATGTTTCCTGACCTCTTCAGGAAGTGTATCACCCTCCTGCTAAACTTTTAACATCCAGCAGATGGCAGGCAAGGAAAAAGTTAAACTGTGAGAATCCATGCAAAGAGCACATGAAAATATTAGCCATTTTTATCTAAGTAATATAAAAGAGTGATGGAACACATACAGAAATGTTGTTTATAGCAGCCTTTTAGAAAGATCTCAACACCTACAAAACTGAGACAAAACCCAGCATACATTACTTTAGCATGCTGCTCATACGATATCCCGGACTCAAAAATAAAATAGGTAGAGCTTATGCTTTCCTTCATCCAAAAGTCCTCAGATGCCTCTTGCCATTTATCGCATGAGATATCCCTCAAATTCAATAGCACTGCTTTGCCCTTTTCTCCTCCCTCAAACAGTCAACTTTAATCAGTTTTTCTCAGTTAAGCTTGATCCAACAGAAACAGCTCCTTGGCAGATGAAGCTGCCTTCTAGATAAGAGTTGCAAGACAGAGCTCAATGGGAGTAAACAAAGATAGGGAGAAAGTGACAAGATGCAAAAGATTTCCTGCAATTGCATACAATCTATCTCCAAAACCAAAAATTATGCTTTATACACCAGAACAGACCACTTAAAACTACAAAGGAAACTTCAGCTAAAAAAAAAAAAAAGCAAGCAATGAGATTTTTAAAAAAGAAATAAATAGAAAAAACAGATTTGTGTTTTGTTATCTATCCTCTACTAATTACACTAAACCAGCACTTTCTACTCTTGCTTTCAACTTCTAAGTCTTGTTCTGCATTAGAACATTACAACTGAGACACAAGCTTATGATATCTATTTGGTACCTAGATCTGCTGTCATGAATCTCAAAAAAACACAAGCTACTTTTTGATTAAGCCACTGACCTGGGCATTTGAGCCATAGCTAAACTTCAAGGCAAACGTTTGAGAAAACAAACACAGGCCCTACAAGACACGATATGAGAACTCAGTTTGTGTGCTCCAACCACTCCCCTTAACTGTAAAAGCACTGATAAAAGCACATCACTGAATTACAACATATTTGCAAATCTTACTTCTCCAAGAAGAGGAGATAAATGTTGTCTGACACACATTGGATTTAGCTGAGTATCATAACTAACAAAAAAAGCTTCCAATGATTTCATGAAAGAACATTCTGGAGAGTTATCACAGAGGTGATACCACCGCATGTAGCCTTTACACAGTGCTTTACTGTAGCTCTCCAAGTATTTAGTAACAGGCAAATATCACTGTTCTCACTTAACTGGTAGATAAATCATGACAGAGAGGGGCTTTGGATTTAGACAAGTTATTTAAAGTCAAGAACACAAGAACAGCTATGCAAGAACACACTAAATGCCAATTTTGTTCAGAGTTCTTCGCTGGAAGACAATAATAGATGCTTAAAAAAAGAACGTGAAAACCAAGGCAAGGGTAAAACAACCTTTCATAGCATCTTTGCTCTGCTTTCTGTAGCGAGCAGTTTAAGCAGTTCAAGTCAGAAGTTTTGTCGTCAGATCATTCTGTTTTTCATAGCTCACAAGGAGGATATTTTCCCTCTATCCATCTACACCATTTTTGAACCTAATTAAACTTTCACATTCAGGAATTCATTGACAAATCATTTTGCGATAACACATTGTGTAAACATAATTGCCTTTGTTTTAAAGCTGCTATATGATAACACAAGAACTAGGAAGACTGCAATGAGCTTAAAAGAAACTGAATAATCATATCCTAACTTTTTTCTCTACTCCACTCTTTCTAGAACTTCCATGTTTTCCAAGCTCCAAAGATCTGTCCTAGCTACCCTCCCTCACAAAGAGGCAGAGAACCAGTAACAGAATCTACACCTCAAGCCACCGTCTTACCTAATACAAGTTTTCAGTAACCAAATCTGCAGTTTAAAAGTTAACCACAATTAACGGTTCCTGCTTAATTTCATCGGGAAAAAATTACATTTTACCTTTCACTTCCTGGTGTGGTAATTCTGTAAAAACGATGCCTCAAGTGATGTTTGTCCCCATGATAGCAAACTGTGCACAAGTCATAATTTGTACATTCAGCACATTTCCATCGGATACCAATGATGGGTTGCTGTCGACAAGTATCACACATAGTTCCATCATGCTTGATACCTGTGGAGAGAAAAAGGAAAAAGAGACTAACAACTTTGCTACATCACTACACAGATTTCTGTCACACACCATTATAATTTGAAACCATGTACTAAAAAGTTAACAATAAAGAAAGGCTGCTAGTGATACCCTATCAGCCTCTACGACTGAGGGGAAAAGATATTGGACTTTGCCTCATATCTCCAGTTGCCAGTCTATTCCTGAAATGTTCTATTTTTCTCAGCTCAAACAGCTGAGAAAGCTACGTTTGGTTTTTTCCATCTATGCAAATCAGAGAAAGAAAATAAGAAATCCTTTAACTACAAGTTAGAGGGTCAGAAATGCGCATGTCAAAATATACAGGCAATCTAGAATTTTATCTCTGGATTAAGACTATCAACACACCTTATACCACAAAGGCTACTGTGTTCAACTGTGCATGACAGTTTAAAAATCATTAGTTTGACTTACACATTTTGTATGGTGGAAAAGATAACTGCTTATCTCTATTCTTTTTTATACAGGAAAAAAATAAGCTCTCTTAGACAGATCCATTAGCTTCATGAAAACCTGTTACCATTTTTTAAGCATTTTACTGCTTTGTATGTTGGTTTTCTTGAAAAGAATGTGCCAAAGACAGACCAGGTGTAACCCACCAGCATGTGCTCTGCCCAGCCTTCCACAAAAACTGAGTTCTCAAGACTACTTACTCCTACAGCTTTGCCAAGCTACAGCAGAGTGAAAGTGATCAGTCACAGACAGTTTCCATCCATGCGTTCTGAATACAGTGAACAGCCACAAGTTTATTTAATTAAAAAAAAAGTCAAATTCTGCTGCTGTTTGGAAAAAATTGCGTAATAGAAGAGAGAAGCACTGGCATTCAGTATGTAGCACAAGATAAAAATGAGCACTAAAAGGCTGGAGTAGCACAGAATTTTGCTAGTCACGCACCCTTAAAAAAAATGCCAAAAACACAGATCACTCTGAAATTAGTGAGGAAAAAGAATGTTTTTTGTCCCCTCCAGAAGGGACGCTTTTGGAAATGACTGCCAAATTCACTATAAACCTATTAGTCACTTGTGTTCAACAGCTAAGCCACCTGCAGTGAAGAAAAATCAACAGTTGGAGAGGCAAAACTGAAGGAAATGCCTTCTTGTCTGATCATTTCAGAGAATCGCGTAATAGCTGAGGTTGGAAGTAACCTCGGGAAATTGTGTAGTGCAACCACCGCTGCTCAAAGCAGGGTAAACTACAGACAGTTGCCAAGGACCATATGCAGTCAGGTTTTGAGCACCTCCAAGAATGCAGACTCCACAACCTCTGGGTAGCCTGTTCCAGTGTTCAATCATCCCTAGAGCAAAAAATGTTTCTTCTTATGCTTAAGTGGAAATTCCTGCATTTTAATTTGTGCCCATTGCCTCGTCCTGTCACTTTACACCATTGAAAAGAGTCTGGCTCCATTGTCTTTACAATACCCATCAGGTATTTATATACACTGGTAAGATCCCCCTGAGCCTTCTCTTCTCCAGGCTAAAGACCACTAGATCCCTCAGCCTCTCCTCATACCAGATGCCTTAAGACCTCTTAAAACACATTTGCAGCCCTTCGCTTGACCCACTCAGTATGTCCATGTCTCTTTTGCACTGCGGAGCCCCGAACAGGACACAGCGCTCCAGGAGTGGTGGCCTCACCAGTGCTGAGTGGAGAGGAAGGATCACCTCCCTCCACGTGCTGGCAACGCTCCCCCTAATGCAGCCCAGGATACCACTGTCCTTCATTGCCACAAGGGCACACTGCTGGCTCACGGTCACTTGGCTGTCCATTGGGACCCCCAGGTCCTTTCCTGCAAATCTGCTTTCCAGCCAGCTGTCCCCAGTTTGTACCGGTTATTCCTCCGCAGGTGCAAGACTCAGCCTTTCTCTGTTGAATTACATGAGATTCCTGTTGGCCCATTTCTCCAGCCTGTCAAGGTCCCTCTGAATGCCAGCAAAATCATCTCGTGTATCATTTCTCCTAACCAAGAAGGCTTCTCACCCTACCCGCTTCCAAACTTGATTATAAATGTATTTAGGAAGATTTCTGTCCTCATGATTAAAAATTTTCCTGATGCATGAACATTGGAATAAATATTTAGTTAAGGCTGAAAAAGGCAATACATTTGGAGCAAAGACTGCACATAGCACCACAGAGATCTGAGCACCTCTTCAGGACAGCCAAAGATAGCCTTCAGTGACAACAAAAACACTGAAACTGCTGACAGTATACTAAACGAGCACTGTAATTCCTGGGGCGGTTCATGACTAAGGCAGCATCCATACCTTGACCACAAAGTCTGTGCTGAAATTTTGAAGGTCTGGCACAGACAAGTCCTATAACCCATAACGTTATTTGCCAACTCCAACTGCCAGACAACACACCTCGTATACCATAATCATTCTTTTTGGCTAACCTTCTACATTTAAAAAGTGTTTGCTGCCTGGTAACAACAACTAAAAATGCTATTTTTCTACAAAACAAGAACTTGGAAATCACCCATACATCTCCTCCCCCCACACAACTCCATCAATGACCCTGTTCCCAGCATGGAGGATTAACATCAAGGAGAAAGCTATCTTCCTTGTTATGTTCACTGAGACTTTGATGTCTGGTATCTGTTGATTATCTGTGACACTCAAAAAGATAGCATTAGCTATGACCTTGCAGTGGCTGCCTCACTGATATGAACTGTATTGAACCATTTTACTACTTTTTGGTAGTGTTCAAGAGCAGGTGCATTAAAAGGACTCAGATAAGCAAGGCAACAAAACAGTAACAGGTTAAAAAGTCTAACTAGTTATGGCACTTGGGACTGAGGGGTGGTATTTGGGGTGGTATTTGGTTTTGTTTGGTTTTTTTTTTTAATTGATTGCTAAATTGGTATTTCACATAGAAACAGAAGTAACACATCTTTGGAATTTTTTTAACGGTTGCTGAACTTCAGGGAAGACAGTTTGCCAAGGATGACATTTGTTCTGGATGTAAAAGGACCAAGGAATTGGGTACTGCAGGATTCTTCAGTTTGTCCAAGCAGCAGGAAAGGGGGCAAAAGAGAGGTATAATCGTGAGTCATGCAATACAGAACTAGGTCATCTCACAGTAAACTTAAATAAAAACTAAACATTTCTAGGCAGTGAGGCAAAAGCAGCAGTGGAAAAACTCAGAAAAACTTCCTTAGGAAAGATAAAGAAAAAGAATATACAAAGATGTTTGACTTAGAAGTCATTTTACTGACTAGAGTGTCTGGGACTTACAAGAGAACATTACATGACTGTATTTGGAGTCTCTGATCGAGAGAGTTACATCTCTATCTCGCAGATCCCTAAACACCACCCTGATAGATAGAGCCTTTCTTCCTCCACTCCCTGACACGATTCCAGCAGCAACACCCACTTCAGTGCATGCCTCACCTGATCATGCTGCTCCATTCTTTCCATTATGCCAGCAAAAGGTTTTTGCAGAGTTAAGCTGTAAACTGGATCAAGAAACATACCCGGATGAAAAACAGCCAGGAGGAAAAATATTCAGCTGGATTGGTTTCCCAATCCTGTTCTTTGTGGTGCTGCACAACACTGCTGGCATGACAAACAAAGCACTGCAAAGCAGGAGCAGGCAAGTAATCCTGTTACAGAATGTTTAACCACTGCACTAGAGGTCTGGAGGAAGAAGTAGATTTGTATGCCTCTGGTGACAGTGGACTAAGAGAGTTTTAAGTTCATTGCTAAAAAAAAAAAAAAAGATGCTAAAACGAGGTGCTACTACTGCATCATGAAATGCGATAGCTGAACTCTCATTCATGTTCATAATACAAACAAAATGAACTATTTAAATCAATAGTATGTTTTAAAGAAGGTTGAAATTTTTTTTTTTTAGTTGAACTAGATATTATAGGTACACGAGTATGGTGGGTTGACCTTGGCTGGCTGCCAGATGCCCACCCAGCCACTCTCTCACTCTCTAACAGGATGGGGAGTGAAAATAAAACGGAAAAGCTTGTAGGTCGAGATGAAAGTGAGATCACTTACCAATTACCATCACAGGCAAAGCAGACTTAACTTGAGGAAAATTAAATTTATTGCCAATTAAAAAGAAGAGGATGGTGGGAAAGACAAAAACTAAAACACCTTCTCCCTACACTCCCCCTCTTCTTCCCAGACTCAACTTCACTCCTTCATTCCCAACTCCTCTATCTCCCCCTGCTTCTCCCCTGGAGGAAATAGAATCATTTCTGTTGGAAAAGACCCTTAAGATCACCAAGTCCACCACTAAACCACATACCTAAGCACCACATCCACACCCCTTTTAAATACCTGCAGGGAGGGGGACTCAACCTCTTCCCTAAGCAGCCTGTTCCAATGTCTGACTACCCTTTCGGTGAAGAAGGGGAATGGGAGATTATGGTCAGTCCGTAACAGCTCCTCACACTTTTCCCCTGGTCCAGCATGGGTCCTCTCCACGGGCTGCAGTCCTTCAGGAAAACACTGCTCAAGTGTGGGCCCTCCACGGGCTGCAGCTTCCTTCAGGACATGTCCACCTGCTCCAGCATGGGGTCCCCCACAGGCTGCAGTGTGGATACCTGCTCCACTGTGGCCCTCCATGGGCTGCAAGGGGGCAACTCGAATCACCGTGGGCGCCATATTTTTTTTAGAGACATGTTTCAGACTAGCTCTGCTCTAGCCCCACAGACTGAATGCGCATCAGCAATGAGATCATATCTTTCAATTTACTTTCACCAAAAAGTAAAACAGTTTGCGTGCTCCAAAACCACCCCATGATGTAAATTGAAGCACAGTACACAGGAACAACTAGGAGACTGGGTCAAGTGTAGGCTCTGGAACCAAACTGAAATCCTGACCCAAATGCAATCTGTATCTGTCACATAAACCGCTTCCGCTCTTTGAAAGGAAGGCTGTTTAAGAAAGGTTGAGAAACACAAACTTTACAAAGTTTATATTAGAAAAGAATGCCTTAATTAAACTACTGGA